ACCCGTGCTATAAAATACCAAAGAAGCACTTTTCCAAAGTTTCCGGCTTGCACTGAAGCAGCAAATTTCGTACGGATCTTGCATTTTTTGTATCTCGCATCGCAAGGGCAGTTGTGGCACATGCAAAAATCCACAGTATCCGAATCCAGCAATGTTGAAATGTTTGTAATAAAGAAGCTACAAAAACCGTGTGTGCAAAGGGGATCCTGCAACATTGCTGAATCACTGAAGCAGCTTGTGCTGCACTCTGTGATCCTGACTATCCATTTGATTTTAATCCATGAAAAATGTAGCTTGCCAACAAAATGCGTGAAATAGTCACGTGTGGTTGAAATCATTTTGATTTCTCACCCAGTGCATCTAATTCTAAATCAGTATGTGACAGCATAAGTAGAGTCTCTTGCAGATATCCTAAAAAATCGGTTTCTTGCGAAAGGAATTCCAATAATTTCTTTTCTTGAGCGAAAACGCTATGTCTCGTTTGAAAGAACACTGGGAGGGAAAATATCGAGCATGACCACACTTTGAATGGTCAATGTCTGGCAAAGTTGACCGTCACTTTGGATGGTCAGCTTTCGCCGATGTTGATATTTCTCGTCTGAAAAGAAATATCACATTGACGAAAGTTGGCGGTCTGCAGCAACACTCCACACAAAACCCTTGTGCACTTAGGCCCGGTTCTCGACCGTTTGCGGTGAATCCAACCGACCATGTTGATGTCGTTGAACCCGGTTAGCCACACCGGCGGCAGTGGGCCTCACACAAGCTCGTTACTTTGAGAACTTTTTGTACGGAGTGTTGCTGCAAACCGCTGACTTTCGTCGGCGCCGATTTTTTTTTTCGATCTCGCCGTCTGGTGACAGTTTTTGAAGTATAGGATCCTTTACTTGTTGTGGGACTGAATTTGCTGGTCGAACGAATTGCAGCTAGTTAAGACAACAGTGGGTTAACTACGATTCAAAATGTTTCATTTAGCATTTTTTATGTGTCATTATTTCATTGGTGAAATACAAAATCGCATTTTGTCGAGGATTTGTCTGTATGTTTTGTTTCCATGGTATTTTTGTGTTTTTATGTTTACGTGTATCTTTTTCTGTAAACTCCAGTTTCTAGATCAACAAAAGCTGTAAAGCTGAAAATTCGGCAAATTAATCCGCCTCTAGGTGTTCTCAGACATGCGCTGGATGTTCGTGCTATCCTGCAGGAACGCTAAAAAAATTTTTAGCAGGAAGTGTTTTAATTAAAAAATCATTGGCAACGCGCATCAGGGGCGCCCATGCGATCATGCGTTTTTGCAATATTTTGTGCTGTAAGATCATTCAAAAACCCAGTAGCTAGAAACTGTGACATACTGGTCCACGATGTTCGGGAAGTCAGCTGTGCAACTACGCGGAAGTTGGACAAGGATTTCTCAAAATTTTAGCTTCTCAGTTTTTCTGGCTCTCGAGTTAGCAATTTTTCCGCCAAAAAATTTCATGGGTCTGTACGTGAGAACCACGCGCACCTGGGGCTGAATTTAAAGTTTTTGAGTTCTACGTGAGCGGCGAGCATCCGCTGAAAATTTCAGCCCCCCCCCCCTCGTCCTTCCCAGCTTTTCTGGTTCCCGCAGTGGTTTTCCTACCAAAAATTTCACGTGGCCGTACCCGGAGCCCAGCTTGTGCGGGGTTTAGTATCGCGGCCCTGACACTTGGCCGCTAGCAAAATTTTGGCGCCGAAGCTCGTGTGGTTGTCAAGTTGAAATACCCGGACAGACGCACATACATACGCAAACGCACACCATGAGTCG